CTGGGATCGAGCCCCGCATTGGGTTCCCTGCTCAGCAGAGAGTCTGCTTCTCCCTCTCCCTCTGCTGCTCCCCCTGCTTGTGCTCTGTCTATCTCTCTCTGTCAAATAAATAAGTAAAATCTTTTAAAAAAAAGTGGATAGCTGGTCAATACCTACCTTTTAAGTGTATTATGCATTTGATTACTTTGACTCAGAACAAGGCCTCATAAGTATTTGGAGTAAAAAGAACTAGGGAACTTAATTGATTTCTGTGCTATAAGGCTCTCTAAAAATGCTATAAATTAATTTAGAAAATTAATTAGATATATATGTTTAACAGTAGATGCAGCAGCATGGCATCACAAGCCAACTTGTAATTCAGTAGTTGAAGCTTGCATATTTGTAGTCTTTCTCCCAAATTTGACTTGCATATAATTGAAAACCCTTCCTGTAATCTTAATAAAGAGAAATGAAATCTATATTTTAACAAATGAAACAATATACAATTTCCTCCTCTTTTGGAGGAGCACTTTAGAATAGTTGCTGTAAATTCTGGGTAATGGTGGGCTTTTTCCTATTTTTATTTTTATATGTCATATTAGCAAAGAATAAAAATTAGTGGCATTTTGTTCTAGATAAAATAAGATGATGGCATGTCAGGTCTTAACATTTTTATTTACTAGAGTGTTCCAGTTTGAATCTTAAAGTATGTTTGTCCTAAAATATTTTAGGATAAAGGTTTGAATGGTTACACATCATTCTGTAAAGTTAAATATAGATATGATGTGGGCTTGCGTGAATGGTCAAGAAAGAATTCTTGAGATGATTTCGGTGCAAAAAGGTGCTTTTATTACAGCACTGGGAAAGGACTCATGGGCAGAAAGAGGTGCATGTTTGCTGTAGGAAGCTGGTGGTTATATGCTTAGTGCTCAAGGGGAGGGGATGCGCAGGGAGTATTAGATCATAAATATCTGCGAATTTCTACTCATAAAACTACTTCTGCAAGATTTCTCTGGTGCTTATCATTCAGCTTGATGTTAACTATTGGTGAGATGCACAGGCAGTCATGAGACCCTTGAAGAATGTAGCAACCGGCACGTATTTGATCCTTATCAGAACTCTGCAGGCTGTAGGTCAGCCTTCTGGGCTAAAGGTGAACATTTTTCTGCTGCTGTCTCTCATCAGACATACTTTAAAATTCCAGTTTAAAAAATTCAAAGGTAAAGATTTAGAAGATTTTGTACAGTTTTGCCAGTGTTCTTCTCCTTTGCTGCTTTCAGTGACCTTTACCAATTTTCTTTTTCTTTTTTTTTTTTTAAAGATTTTATTTATTCATTTGAGACGCAGAGGTACAGAGAGAGAGAGAGCATGAGCAGGGAGAGAGGCAGAGGGAGAAGCAGGCTCCCCACTGAGCCAGGAGCCCGATGTGGGGCTCAATCCCAGGACCCTGGGATCATGACCTGAGCCGAAGGCAGACAGACGCTCAACCATCTGAGCCACCCAGGCGCCCCACCAATTTTCTATCTGTATTAGGTTGTAAACGTACTTGAACCTACCTTTTTCTTGCTGCATTTATACCCAGGTGATGGACTTAGTTGTCTGTGTTGCAGTGTGTGGACATTAAAATGCCTGAAATTGACACCAGGAACCAGGTTGTTGCCCTTTTCCTTTGTCACTTACCCTAGGTAAGGGGTGTGGAGACCTAGTAAATGTGAAATATTTCATTGTGTTAAAGTATGTGGATTTTCTGCTTCAGCTGGACAAAGTAATTTGTTAAAAACACATATTTTGAAGTTGGTGTGGTCAACCAGAGCACCAAAACCACTTGGCATACTTACAACAGAGAACATTTAATGCAGGGAATTGGTGATAACAGAGAGTGGTGCTACTGTGGAGATGAGTGATAGCTGGAAGCCACCGCCACTCCTGGGCCACTCCTGGGCCACCCGTGAGCCACCCCTGAGCCACCCCTGAGCCACGCCAGGGTTACCAGTAGAAGCTGGAACCCTGACCACTTTAAGAATAGTAGCTGGAGCTCCTGCCAAAAAGCAGAGCCAAGGTAGAAATAGGAAAGGTTTTGGGAAGAAACCCTGGCTCCGTCTCCCCTGGCTCTAGCCTTCTGCAGCGCAGAGTCAAGCGGTAGAAGGAGGGAGGCTAGACCGGCCCGGGCGTGGTGCTGGAGATAAATCAGTAGTGAAGGGTTGGATCCCTGTTCCTCCAGATGCTGTCCCCCTTCCCCTTGATCTCCCTCGAATGTGTCCTGGGTAAAGTGAAAATCTAAAACTACACCCGCATTCAGTTCTGAGGGCATGAGGGCCCTCAGGCTGGCATCCTTGGTGTCCCTTTTCCCTTCACGTCCGCATGCCTTCCCAAGTGGGGTTCTAAGTGGACCAACGTGGCCTTCTCTGACAATGGAGAACTTCTTTGGGGGTAATAGTACATGATTAGCTTGCATCTCTAACAAATTTCTACACAGGTGTACAGGGCAGCCAGTTTTGGAATGCCTTCACTTTATCACTTTCTGATGATTGAGATCAGCTAACCTATGATATGAGTCCATAAAATGGGATGTCTCTCTTTTAGATATTGGAAAAATAGTGTGACTTCTGTCTCTTCTGAAACTGATCTTGCATGATTAATCCAGACTAATTAATGAATACCCAGTAGAGGAAATAGCATCAGTTGAGGAAGAATAAACATTTAATTGTTGCTTCCATTACACAATAAAAAGGGATGTAATCCAATTCAAATGTTCAAAAACATAGAGCCTTCTGTGAGGTGCCCAATAAAATGTTGAATTTATAGCGACTCTATTGTGAAAGCTGTTATGTTTATGATTTGACTTGAAGAAGTTTATAGCTGAAAGACCCTGAGAAGTCTTCTAAAAGAATCCTTTTGTTGAAAAGGAAACTAGCATTCCCACTTTTCATTTTCAGAAGACATATGCCTAAATCAACCTTAAAAACAACTTTTTGGAATTATAAAAGCCTGTACCAGTTATAGAAAATCCAAAAAATGGTGAGAGTATGTGTATGTGTGTGTGTACGTTTCCAATGGCATGAAAGCCTCCAGAGATAGACTCATTCATTCATTCATTCGGCAAATATGTACAGAGCACCTACTGTCAGGCATTGTACTAGACACCAGGGAAATATTAGTGGGCAGAGCAGTCACAGTTTTTCATTTAACTTGAATTCTCATAGAACTTTCTAGTGGGAAAGGAAACAGACAATAATTATGTATGTCAGGTGGTAGTCTGTGCCATGAAGGGAGTTAAGGAGAGCGGGAATGCTGTTTTATAGAGTTCAGGAAGGCCCTCTGAGCAGCCAACATTTGAAGTCATCTGATGAAGCAAGAGGGCGAGCCATGTTCTTCCCGGAGGAAGGAGGGCTGTTTCTAGGCAAAGGGAATGGAGAGAAGTATTGTAAAAAGGTTGATGCATATTTGTTCAGATTTTTTCTGTGCATATACTAGGCTTATAAAGAACAGTAGCTTACACTGTACCTCCGGTTTTTTCACTTAACAATCTACCTTCCTTTGCCTTTAATAGCTGTGTAGCGTTTTATTATATGCATATATATCTTAACTTATTTGACCAGTTCTCCATGGTGAACATTTGCATTGTTTCCAGGTTCTCGGTACTGCTGAGAGTGTGGCTATAAACGTCTTTATGCACATATATAAATACTGATGTGTGTGTTTTTCTACAACAGTGGTTCTCAACCCACCTTTTTTTAAAATTATTTTTTAAAGATTTCATCTATTTGTTTTAGAGAGAGCGAGTAGGGGTAGGAGGGAGAGGGAGGGGAAAGAAACTCGAGAAGACTGTGCTGATCCCAGCGAAGGGACTTGATCTCACAGCCCTGAGATCATGACCTGAGCCAAACCCAAGAGCTGGGAGTACAACCGACTGAGCCACCCCGGGGCCCCAACTCAACCCGCTTTAAAAGGCTTAAGAAAATACCGATGCTCGGGTTTTATTCAGACCAGTTTCTAAATCAGGATGTGTGGAGGTGGGATCCAGGACTTCTTTCGTATTTTTAAAAAGTTCCTTGGATGACTCCAGTATGTGGTCAGGGTTGAGAACCGCAGCTGTAGGATGATTCTTAGAAGTGGCCTGGCTGAGTCAGTGATAAAGACATGGTACATTTTAGTGGATAGTGCAAAGTTGTTCCCTGTATTGGAATTAGGAGCAACTGCCAGTAGTAGTAACCTAAAGTAAGTTGGCTTAAACAAGATAGTTTCTTTTTTCTATGAAATTCTTTACATAGGTAATCCAGGGCTGGTACGGTAGTTTTATTACGCGTAGTCCTCAGGTCCCCCGTTCCTTCTGGCTTTTGTGTTTTCTGACCTAAGGGAAATCTAATCTCAAGCGAGTGGGGGAGGGTTGGTTAATGCTCCTGCCATGACGTTCATGTTGCAGGCAGCACAGTGAAGGAAGGGTTGAAGGGCACAGACCAGCTGTTCTCTTCAAAGATGCCTAGAAACTTCCACAGAACACTTCTGCTTGGTTTTGTTTATCTGAAAAAAGAGGAGAAGGGAGAGCCGCAGCCGCTAGGCGTCCCTACCCCGTCCCCCTGGAGAGCTGTAAGCGTCTGCCCTCTGCCCCCAGAACCTGCCCCCAGTGCCAGGACCTGCTCGGCTTGAGTCCGCCCAGGCCACTGCCTTACAGCTTTGTCGCAGGGATGAAAACTCGGACAGTACATTGGCTTGGGGGGGAGGCAAAATCAACTCAGTTCAGACTCAGGAAAGATGGTTATAAACTTGACCATGAGGAGAAAATAATGTGTTGAAGTCCTGTTCTTTAATTGCGTACAATTCTCTTCTGATGTTTTAGCTCTCTCAGGGGAGGGAATCTCTTCCCTGTCAGCAGGGTATTACTTATGAACATCCTTGTTGGAACATACTGCTCAAGGAGGACATCTTCGTGCATCATTATTAGAATTAAATATTGTTACACTTGGATATAAAAAGTAGTTTGACCTGTGACTTTTTTTAATGACTTTTCTTTGTCCTTGCAGTGGATGAAGGTCGCAGTAAGGAGCCTGACCGTTTGCAGGTGTTCCACAAGAAAGCCATAATGCCTTACGGCATTTATAAGAAACAGCAGAAGGACCCGAGAGAGGAGGCGGCCGTGCTGCAGTACGCGGGGCTGGTGGGGCAGGCGTGCTCCGAGCGGATGCTGCTGCTGCGGAACTGAGGCCATCTGTACCGCCACCCCCCCGCCCGCGCCCCCTCACCCCTTCACCCCCCGCGCCCCAGGGAGGCTCCCGGCCTGCCCACAGATGAGGCGTTTTTTATTTTGACTCTTCTGTGGCTTTTCTAGAATATTTTGTGGCAATGTATTTGTGAGACTCTCCTGGTTAATATAAAGATTTTAAAAATAGGTTGTGACCTAGCCTCCTCATGGGTATCATTTTGGAAGTTTGTTTTATGAACAAGCTACGGTATGAACTTGTGTTAATATTTTGGAAAGTAAAATGAATAAGTGGATCTTAAGTCATTTAAATCACCATCGTGCTTTTTTTGTCAAAGAAATTACAGCAGACTTTTCTCAGATCCATTTAAGACATTAGTTTATGCTCCAAGACTGGAAGGCTGGGGGAGAAGGTGGGGAGTCGGTTTTCTCTCTTGGAAAACGTCTTCTCAAGAGAACGGAACTGTTTTTCCTCATTGTTCAATATTACTGCCGAATGTTACGTAGTTAATAGAAAACTCAGAGAAAGAAAATACAAACCTTAAAGAAAGGACGTCATGTGGACGTCAGATGTTCGTTTACCCAGGACAGCCTCCGTCATATCTGTTGTCTGGGCATGCTTTTTTTCCCAGAATAATTATTACTCTCAAATAATCTTACTCTCAAAAGTATCCCAGTTGGACAACAAAATATGTGATTACCCTAGTTGTATATATTATTTGCTCTGTTTCTAAAAATCTCAGAAATGGAGGTTTTTGTAGGTTTTGTTTGGGTTTTTGGTTTTTTGGTTTTGTTTTTTAGAAAAATGTTGGCTCCTGCCTTGACCTAAGACCCATCAGAAGTAACTATACACTAAATTTTTCGCTCCTTAGAACTCAGGACACTTGTCTTTGGTTATTGATTAAAAATTAGTTAATATCTGACTACTTTTATAGCTGTGGTACAAATCACGTTTAATGAAGCGTAGGAATCATTTTGACCTCTGTTCAGGGCAAGAGGTGGAGCAGTCCGTTTCTTGCTCTTTGATTTGGGAGTCAGCACATGCTAGCTCCTTGTCTTCTCGCTTTGTTTTGGCCCCTCACCCAGGCACCAAATGTCCCTTGTCCACCCCCATCAAGGTGGCGGGCCCTGTGCTGGGAGGAAGGAGACTGAGCGTATTGGTTCACAGAACGGAGCTGTGTTGGAGACAGTAATGACAGAGGAGGGTTAGTTTCCTGTGTCCTTTCTCAGCTGACCCCCATCTTCTGTGTCAGCAGCTTGGCCACAGAGTTCATTCCATTGCCCATTTTGCCTGTTTTCTATTGATCTTTTTTAAAAACCATATTATAAAACGTAGTACTTTGCAACCCAGCAGTGGTTTTAAACTTTTCTTCTAAAGGCACTGAATTTGGAAAAGACATTAGAAAATAATTTCAGTTAGCTAAAAGAGGGATCATAAAACAGTGATTTTAAAAATCACATGTCTAGAAATTCAACATCCAAATGAACTGTGTATTCATTCATTCAGACAGGGTGTGTGTGTGGTCTGTGTGTGTAACACCTGCCAGATGCAGGTATTTTGCCAACTGAGGATAGAGGAGTGAGGAAAGCCATTTTCTCTGATCGTGTGGATTTTGCATTCTTCTGGGATTTTGTTCTTCAAAATAGCCTCCCAAGAGTATTTGATAGGCTCTTGTTTGGAACTGCCTTCAGAACCTACAGAACTTTTTTTTCTTTTTCCCTCTAAAATGAAGATAGCTTAATGTTCTTAGGTTTATAAGATCGTACTCACTGTAAGCAATTCAAACATTAATAAAACTATAAATATAATCTGAAATTCTGCCATACCAGAGAAAGAGAGAACTGTTATATATCTATACACATACATACATAATTTGAATATAAATAGAATTATGCTCTATACACTGTTTTGTGGACATGCCTGAATTTTGAAAGAAGTTTCAAAGTAGGACTTCAGAAGTGTTGTGAGTAATCTGAGTACTAGGAAAGTCAGTGGGATAGGGTCGAATCTTGGTACCTTTGGTGTTGGAATGTTCACGTTGCTACCAGCTGCATTACACCCACTCTTATGTCCTTGATTGGTGGGTAGAACAGGAGCCCTGAAGATCACAACTCTTGAGTATCCCATGAAGGGAAAACCTGACTCTTACATCGTACCACGACTCTGGTTTCCTCCTGCAGAATTCAGTTAGGGTTCCTTCAGAGGAAAGTGATCAATCACATCCTTGTCTGGGAACCAGGGTGCTGCCCCTGAGGGCGTCATTCAAGGTTGACTGCAGTGAACCACCAGAGAGAACTGGGCATGAAGATTCTTCTGCTTGGTTGCTGGATTCATGTGCTGTTCTTTTGGGAATAGATAGTGTATTGATCCTAATGAGTTAATTATTTGTTCTTTTACGCCCTGGCTGAGTATTAATAGCGTGCTAGAAAAGGACAGCAAGGCAAGTGACCTGGCTTTGCCAGTCGATGTAAAGTCTAGCTGAGAAATCTGGTTTTATGTTCATGGCTTTCATCCAAAGAAAGACACTTGACAACCTTTCAAAGACAGTTTCTATCTTTTCAAGGCTGGAAGCTGCGCATTTACCCTCTTAGAGTTGTAGTTCCCTCTGGGATGCAGGGAAATTCACACCTGCCTCCTCGTCTCAGGAGCAGAAATGTAATTGAGGTTTTCCACACTGCCGTCTTTATTTAAATTCTTCCAGTTCTGTGAGATTTTTTTTGTTATTTTTTAAAAATGTAATCTGAGCACTTTTTTTATTATTCTATAAAAGAGGCTATTACCAAATGAATATATTATTCATTTGATTAAAAATTATTTAGATAAGAAATTATTACTGTTTATCTTTGCTTTCAGACAACGTATCCTATTTTTTATCCATTTTGCAAAATACCTCTTGTGTGTGGTTTCTTAACATAGCAGAATCTATTATGTAAATGAACCTTTTCAGATATCTGAGCAGTATGTGGCTTGATTTTATAGGCTTTATACTATTTCAGTGTGAATAAAAATGAGAAGGAATATGATGAACAGTTATCTAGAATGTGTTGGTGGTTGCTAACTTTAAAGAAAAGAAGGAAGTGAAATGGAAACATAATGTTTGATTTAGAAGTTATTCAAATGTGTATTCTTTTCCAAAAGAAAACCAGTGACTGTAAAGCAAAACAAGTCAGATTGCATGTGATTTTTTTTGCTCTCGTGTATGCCTTTTGAACAGTCCATTTGATAAATCTTGAATGGAAAAAAAAAATAAAGCTGTTTCTGTCTGCTGTGGCTCTTGCTGGTCAATACTTAGAAGACATATGTTTCCTTACTTTTCGTTTTTTTTTACAACATTTTACCTGTGGTAGAATATGCAGAAAACAGAGGTAAAACAATGGCTATATGAATCATAATATCTCATTTACAGTAATTATGGGAATTCCAGATCATTTGGTTACCTAAATCAAAGCATGGTGGATTCCTTTCTCAGGAACAAGTAAAAATAAAATAAATCTCACTTTAAGCAAAACATCTGGATTTCACATGAGAAATTAGGAAATAGACATTCTTTTACCCACTGGGATTAGGCATGGGACTTAGGTAGCAAACTCAAATATAATTTCTCTTAAAAAGCTTAGTTTACAGAGAAATTCTCATAAATATAAAGCAAAGTATAACCATTCATAATAGTACACTGTGTATTTATGGAATATGTTTACAAGCATTTTGTGGGGTTTTTTTTTTATACTAAAGAGGACCCTAGTAGGTTTAGGATAAAATGAATCCTATTTTCCAAGTGATTTAAATATTGGTTATAATTTCCGCTGACATTTTTTTTTTTCCAGAATGGAAGTAGCTTTGTTGTTTTTTTTATTTGAAGTGGCCGGTGTTCACCAGGGAGCACTTAGGCAGTGTAGAAAAATCTGCCGAAGAAAATACCAAATCACTTACCATGCCATCAGTAACCACCACCCCTGCCATTCACACTTTGATGTTGTACCCTTTCAAACTTTTTTCTACCTACATGTATGTATATGTCTTGTCTTATTTTTAAATAAAAATGGAATTATGCCATGTATATTGTTTCATAATTTTGAACATTTTAATTCATTGTGAACATGCAAATAAATGAGGAAGAATATAATTGTTTTAATGGCTGTTCGATAATAGTCCTCTGTGTCTAGTATCTTTTGAGAAAGGGGGCTTGAGACTTGAGCCCCACCCCATGGGCACTCGGAGTTGTAATTGACCTGTATTAATAGTTCTCATCAGTTGTTTGTAACACTCAGTCACATGGTTCTTATCCCTCATTTTCCCTGATCCTATGCCTTTCCCCGACAGTAGGGATTTCCTCCAAACTCGAACGTTCAGGTATAGCTTTTAAAAGTCAGTGTCACCTCCTCTCATTGTCCCTCAACTAAATATTTTCTAGGAGACTATCCTACCATTTTTACAGTTTGAACGTCTCTAAAATTCCCAATTAGAAAATGTCTTACTTAAAAGCTTAAGGTTATTTAAAATTAAGGTTCTGATTCATGGATTCTTTATACAACAGAGGCCCTTAAAATGGGTACCTGGAAAGGGTGGGCCATCGTGAATTTAGCCAAGGTTTTTACTTTGAAAAATACGCTGGCTTTTTAAGATTTAATTCTAAGTAAAATTGCATTTTTATATCGGTTGGATGTCACAGTGGGTATCTTCAGTCCAGTCCTGTCCAGGAAATAGTTTCCTATTGACGGTCTAATTCTCAATTAGACCAAGAATTGAAGTTGCTAAATATATTTGGCATGCCAAATTTTTATTCATTTAGAGCTCCAAAATAGCTTGCAGATTTTTATCACTTGGGTTCCTCACCATATCTCTCCACCTGTAATATGAAGAAGCAATTCCAAATGGAAGTGCTGTTAAAAAAAAAACAAAACTGGGGGCGCCTGGGTGGCTCAGTCGATTAAGCGTCTGACTCTTGATTTCAGTTCAGGTCACGGTCTCAGGGTCACGGGACGGAGCCCCTCATTAGGCTCTATGCTCAGTGGGGAGTCTGCTTGGGATCTCTGCCCCTCTCCTCGTGTGCAATCTCTCTCTCTCAAATAAAATCTTTAAAAGAAATGAAACCTAGCACAGCAAATCCTAATGTTATGTGGCATTTGTGATTTTTAAGAATTACCCTTTAATATGGAATTCAATAATAAATGTTTCAGCCACCTCAGAGGAGACAAAGACATCCTTCACTTGTCTGGTATGCATTAAGCAGACCCAGAGTGACTAGCACAAATACCTGTTTCTTTGATCATTACAGGTTGATTAAAACTAATACACAAAAAGTGGTTTCTAAAATTAGTCATATGTTGCATGCTAAAGCCATCATACCAAAAATGTATAAATATTGTGCTCCCTGCTTGCATAATTCAACTCTGTGAGTTTTGGATCATATTTTCCCCTGAACCTTAATTTTTTGTGCTTTTGTCAGTCTGTGCCAGGGTCTTAAAATCATTTAACGCTGGCCTTTCATAAAATTTTATTTAATTAGTGTTAAATGAGGACTCATGAATACTTCATGAAGTCCCATTCATCACACTTTGTTAATTCAGTATTCAGTGAGTCTGAATAGCATCTCTCAGTTAATGGAGCTTTCTGATCATGAAATAAAAATAGCATTTTAAGTTTGTGAATTCAGAGCCTAGGGATCTTAGCTCAGTTGTATGTGAACACTCCTATATACTTTCAGCACATTTGAAAATGTTCAGAGATGACCAGACTGGAATTTGGAAGCTAACCATTGCTGATGTGTTATTGAGCATCAGAGCAAAGATTATATGTACATACATATACAGTGAAAGAGAGTGTGTGCTTAATGAAAGCTCACTAGTAAGAGTATGATTATTCTCAATTTTAATTCAAACAATCAGCTTAATATAGTTGCCTCTTGAACAAAATGGGCTTTCACGGGTCCACTTCTACGCAGATTTTTTGCAGTAAGTACAGTACTGTGCTGTGAATGTATTTCCCTTGATTTTCTCAATAATATTGTGTTTTCTCTACGAGAGCTTCCTTTATTGTAGGAATATAGTGTATGACACTTATGACGTGGGAAATATGTGTTAATCGACTGTTTATGTTGGTAAGGCTTCTGGTCAACAGTAGGCTATTAGGAGTTAAGTTTTGGGGAGTCGAAAGTTATCTGCAGATTTTTGACTACACAGGGGATCGATGCCCTAACCCCCGTGTTGTTCAGCGGTCAACTAAACGGGTTTCGAGGTATAGGACTATTGTAGAAGTCCTACAAATGGATCAGGCTGCCCTGTCCACAGTAGCCATGCCTGTCTATTTCATTTAATTACAATTAAAATTCAGTTCTTAGCCTCACTAGCTACATTTCAGGGGCTCATCGCTAGCCATGTGGGGCCCCTGGGTTGCTGTAACAGGTTACCACGACCTGCGTGGCTGAAAACAGCATGTACTGATTCTCACAGTTCTGGAGGCTGGAAGTCCAAAATCAAGGTATCGACGGGCCGTGCTCACTCTGATGGATCCGGGAAGAGTCTTTCTTTGCGACTTGCAGCCGCTGCAGGTTACCAGCAACGCTCCGTGTTCCTTGGCTGGCAGCTGCCTCAGTCCCGGTTTCTGCCTCCCTTTTCCCAAAGCCATCTTCTGTCTGTGTGTTTCTCTGTGTCAGCTCCTCATAAGGATACCAGTCATACTGGATTTAGGGCTCACCCTATTCTAGTATGACCTTATCTTAATACACCGGCGAGGCACTGAGGGGTAGGACTTCAACATGTCTTTTTGCCAGGGGGCTAGGGGCAGGGAGGGACACAATTCCTTTTTCTTCAGTAGGGTCCATGCCCAACAGGGGGCTTTAACTCCTGACCCCGAGATCAAGAGTCACACGCTCTACCCACTGAGCTGCCAGGCGCCCCTGTGGGGGACACAAATGAACCCACCAGAGCGCCATACTGGAAGGTGCAGATACAGAACGATTCTACTGTTGCAAGTTCTAGTGGATGGTGCTGCAGAAAGGCCATCTTACGAAATGAAAATGTCATGGTTTGATTATACTTTATACATTTCTACATGGCAAAACACCATGGAGCTAATGCAGTGGAACATTCAGGGCAACTTACTTTGATGCTTTCTGGTTTCTCATTGTAATTTACATTGAGCAGTCTAGGCCCATCTTTGATTAAAATGTAGCTGCCCATATGTATGAATTCGCTGTATCTCATTACCACAAGGCTGCCTCAGTTTCCCGATATAACTGCCCCGTCGCTGTGATTTAAAGTTAAACCCATGGGGGCGCCTGGGTGGCTCAGTTGGGTAAGCTCAGGTCATGATCTCAGGGTTGTGAGATCAAGCCCCGTGTCAGACTCCTCGCTGAGCGAATCAGATTCTCTCTCTCCCTCTGCCCCTCCCCTCAAATAAATAAATAAAATCTTTAAAATTACAGTATGTGCAGAGATAATGTTTAATGAACAATTTGAATGACTAGAGATTAATCCAGAAATATTTCTAATATTTCTAATATTAGATATTAGATTAAATATTAGATTAAATATTCTAATATTTCTAATATTTATGCTCTTATTTCCTTTTTTCTTTTTTTAAGATTGTATTTATTTACTTGAGAGAGAGCACATGCAGGGGGAGGAGCAGAGGGAGAGGGAGAAGCAGACTCCTCACTGAGCAGGGAGCCTGACATGGGGCTCAGTCCCAGGACCCTGAGATCACAACCTGAACCGAAGGCAGACACTTAACCAACTGGGCCACCCAGGCGTCCCTATTGTTTCCATTTTTATATTGCATCCCAGATTTTCTTTCAGGTTTCTAGTTCTAGTTACATGTTTATTTTGATCAAGTAGAAAAAAAATTTTTTATAGATTTATCAATAAAAATCTTTCACTCCTATACCAATAAAAGGATTTATATGCATCTCTCCCAAAAATATGCAGTGAACCTGTGTGCAGAAGAAAATGGGAAAAATAAATCCTTATTACACATCTCTCTTGTACTATTGAATACACAGCTGGTGGTTACCTCACATGAATAAGTCCAGAAGACAGATTAGATTGATTTACAGGTCTGCCTTAAAGATTTTTTTATGCCTTTACTATTGTATTTTTAAGGGTGATTTTGATTACTGTTGTTTTTTTCCCTGGTACAGTCTACTTCTGACCCAAACTGCCTATCAATGTCCTCAACGTGGAGATCTTTGTGGAATTTCACTAGAGGCGTGTAATTTAGGTATGGAGACATTTGTTTGGATTCACTTCACCAGACTGTTTGCGACCACCCATGAACAGAGCTGGAGGGCGGGGGGCGGGGGGGGGGGCGGCGGGAAGGAGGGGTCCGCAGAAGCCCCTGAGGTTGGTCAGCGGCCTCCAGGGGGCTCTGCACAGTGTGAGGGGCAATGCCTACAGGAATTAAGGATCACTATCTCTGGTCTCCCTGGTCATCTGCCTATTCTTGAGAGCCACGCTGTGATTTACTTAATTCTGTTCCATATGCTTTTTATAAGAAGGCCAGAGAAACATCCATGTGTGGCCAACTGCGTGTAATTATGAGGTTTACATCTACAGCCGCTGGTGGTTCATGCTTGCAGTAATTAGTATTTCTGATAATGTCACCAAAGATGCTGTCAAGAAAGTTTGGAAATAAAGCATCCCAGTTGGGAGGAGAAAGTCTGGAGACCACTTTGAGCTTACGATAATGAGCGCATTATTCATTTCTATTACTCCTTTATTGCCTTTGTTAAGATATGGAAACTGTCCTATGTCAGCATTACCAGCGAGTGATGATGAATCTCGGGCCTTGCTTATCTGCAGGTTGCTTATCCAGGCTCTTCA